TGGGCGTCAAGGGCAGCTTGAACGTTTGGCACAGGGTGATGGCGGTGTCAAAGAGGCCGGCCCGGACCAGGAGAGCCACCGTTTCCTCGGGCGTGGAGTTGCCTGCAGGGACAGGAGGACCAGGTAAGCGCCTCCCCCAGTCACACCCCAGTGCTTACTGGGGCCTAACCCCGTGCGTTGCAGAGTTCCCTGTGGTAACGGTGCAGTGTTAAACACCCTGCAGCAGCACCTCCCGTCGCACGGCTCGAGGCTTCCTCGGCCTGGGGAGCATCTCATGAGCCCCAGTGCCATCCCCGGAGGGGCTGCACACAGCGGCAGCGACCCACGGAGCCGTCCCTGATCAGGCACCAGCAGGAGAGGGACACGGGCAGCGACGTAGGGCCCGGAGCCAACCGCTGCCACTGTGTGGGTGGGCAGGGAGGGGGCCGCCCTGCCACTGGCGCAGCACGCCCGTATCCAAGCGAAGGAGGCATCAGCGCAGGCAGGAGGCGAGATGACACCGCGGCACTCTGCTCCCTGCGTCTCCAGCCTGCCCTCAAACCAGCTGCTCGATGCCTTCCCTGCAGTCCCTTACTGGGAAGTCATCTCCTCCTGGTACTTGCAGGGGAACAGCGCGTGCACGTCGCGTAACGCGCATCGGCGAGGGGCAGAACGCACTTGCGGGGTCAGGGGGGGAGAGCTGCAGCTTCCTGCTCCCCAACAAGGCACAACCCGGACGAGCTAACACCGCGTCGCGGAGCAGGATTGTCCAGGACAATAATTCAAGCAAGTGGGTTTTTTCTAGGGCTTTCTAATTCTTTTTGATCTGAGGGCGATTTCCAGCAAGCCAAAAAACCGCCTTTTTGTCTCGACTGATGAGCTCAGCCCCAGCCCCGGGCAGATCATTACCAGAGTTCAGCAAAGCCAAAAAAAAAAAGGTGGAAAGCTTAAAATTGGTTCTCCCGATCTGCCTCTCCGAAGCTGCTGAACTTGGCAGCAAGACTTCACACGAGGGAGGCGAACTGAACAGCCCCTGCCAGCTCCTGGGTTTGTCTCTGGGTCAGAAAATTGCTGCTTCCTCACCCAAACGACGACGGAAAGCTCCGGAACGAGCCAACGGCCCAGGGAGGCGGCCGCGCCGCGTCCCTCTTACCTGCCACAGCCGCTGCGGACAGGTCGTGCTGCACCAGCGTCAGCCGGATCCGGGCCAGCAGACACTCCCTCTCCAAGTCCTCCAGCTCCAGGATCTCGATCTGGCGAGTTGCTGTAACAGACGGACGCGAAGGGCTCTGAGCAAAAAGGGCTCCTGGGGCATCGTGCAAAGTGTCTGCAGCCCTCTGCCATCCCACCGCAGGAGGGGTCAGGGCGTGCTGCCCCCTCCTTGCTCCCCTGAGCTGTGCCCATCACCTCGAGACAAGCCTCCTCTGCTGCAGATGTTGCCCAGTGGTTGGTAACGGCTGCTGCTCTGACTGCCAGGCATATGCCACAACAGAGCTCATCAGAAATAATTGTTTTAAAAATGCCTGACCTGAAATTTTTCTACCGTAACGCTGAGGATTGTGAGTCTAACCCGACCCCACCCCCCTGCGCGTCGGCAGGCACAGGCAGAGTGGAGGTCTCACCAGCAGAGACTCACCACCTCAGCAGGGTGACAAACACCAGAAGTCTTCAACAACCAGAAACTGCCTCACAAAGGCTTTTTTTTTGTCTGTTTTAATTACAAGTTATTTCCACTGAAAGCAAAAGCGCTGACAAGACATCAAACTGCAAGCTCCTTGGGGAACAGCACATTGGAACTGGGAGACACCAACACTGGGAGAGTCGCCTTAGCTGACAGCCCCCCAAATTACTGATCTGACAGAGGCAAGAGCTGCCCCGAGCCGTCTCCCAGCTCAGGGGGCGGCAGCCGAGCCCCGAGGCCAGGGGAAAGGCTGCTCTCTGACCAGAGCCAGAGCAAGCGCCGGGGCTGGGCACTTACTTGGAACAGCCGTGCACTCCCCATCGTGGCTTCTCTTCGGGGACGCTCCCGGGCGTTCGTACTTGCAGGAGGAAGAAGCAAAGAGAGGGTTTATGCCCACGTGGTTTCCAAAGGACAAATCGCCTCGGTACAACCCAGCCCCAACGCCAGCTCCCCGTCTCAGGCCTCGGTCCGAATCAGAAGAGCCACACAACCGTGGGCAGTTCAGGTTACGCTTATCTCTGGCCATCGGAAACACGGCACAGCGTTCGCTGGTCGGGCTACGGTCACCGCCTCCCCGCAAACAGATGGGAAACGCAAGCCACGTTACAGTAATTCTCTTTTCTGACTGGTACTCCCGCTGTTCCGACTCCCCCAGAAGATTTACTCTGTCTTCAGAAAAAGGGGAGATACTCCCACCTATACACACCAGCCCCCTCCCAAAACTTGTCCCACTTCCACCCCGCTCCCACGAGGGGCAATGACACAAGGGTGACGGACAGGGCCAGTGTCTCCCTGAGCGAGGCAAGACAGCGCTGGCCAAGATGAGAGCAGCAGATTGAGGTGGCCAACACCTCTGTCCATCACATGGGAAAGGATTCTGGAAGCTCCTTCCCAAACGTTCAGCTCTGAGTGTGCCCACAGTCAGTAGCTCAGGCCAGAGGCTTCGCAGCACAGAATCACAGAACGTTAGGGGTTGGAAGGGACCTCTGGGGTCACCCAGCCCAACCCCCTGCCCAAGCAGGGTCACCCAGAGCAGGCTGCACAGCAC